CTTCAAATTTTTGCTTACTCTGCAATTCGCATATAAAAAAAAACTTTCAAAAAAATATAACTAACACACATGAAAAAAATATCTTGAACACAAATGTAAATTTGAAACAAAAAAATAAATTGACTTACCGAAATTTGCAATCAAACCCCGATTGGAACACAAACACAACAATCTCAAAATTCAAAATTTTCAAAAATAAAAACAATAAAAATAGGAGTTGGCCACAAAACTATCGAGAAGCTTCGATATGAAGGAAGAAGGAGGCTCACTGCTGGGCGACAAGGGTGTACGCAGGCATCAGGTGAGTGATGGCGGCATGCTAGAGGTGTGGTAAGAAGAAAGATGAAATAAATAAATGTTACGTAATATCTTTTAAGTTAGCTTTAAGCAGTTAAGAAAATACTCGCAAGCTTTTTGCGCAAAAGGCAAAAAAAGATAAAAAGAATTTGTGCGTTTAAAAATCAGCAAAGCCTTGGTTCCTTTAAAAAGGCAATGTCTATAAGAAAATTTACTTTTCACCACTGAATTTCACTCATACGGCGCTCAACTTAAGCAACACTTCTTGAATACACAACAAAGAACACATTCGAAATTTTTCATACAACTCTCAATTCGTTTTTACTCAGCCAGTCATCGCGACTCATTCCCAATCGACCCTCATTTGAAGACTTCATTCCACGCGCTCTCACGCTCCCTTTCTCTCTTTCTCTCATCCTTCTTTCTCTTTTCTCAACACCTTTACGCGATCTTCAACACAATTCACAAATTTTGCATCGATATATTTTTAAAATAGTTTCTACAGGAATTTAGTTCAATGCATTCTTCAATTTGGTTTTTGTTTCACTTTTGTTTTTCTTGGCATTGAAATCGGCTACGCTTGTCTAAATATTTATGAATTTTTGTTGATGCTCAAAATGAATTCCCTGTTATTATGAATTATGCTATAAATATGCTCCTTAGTTACCGATTTTGCTGCCTGTTAATTAACTAAGTAGCTAACTCTCACCTTACTATATTAGTTACTAATAACTGAACCTCACTAACTAGTTCTATTAGTTTTTCTAACTATTAATTATACTTGTTTGAATTATTTTTTACAGCTGAATAAATACTTACATACACCAAAACACATACAAATTTAAAAACAATCTAAGATTTGAGTATTAAATTTTTTGAACTATTATATTACATATCGACGACTGAGTTGAAGATCGATATACCACGGCTGTCGGTTGGAAAATGCCCTATCTCATAAAACTTTTCAAGAACGCCCTTCTTTAGAATTTGGTTAAAGAACGCCCTATCTCAACTGAAAATATATCGAAAATATGTTGAGTTGGGGCGTTTTTGAATCGGCAGCTGTAGTAGGGCGTTTTTGAACCGAATGGTGAGATTGAACGTTCTTGAAAAGTTTTCTGAGATATGGTGTTTTTCAACTAGCTGCTGAGATAGGTCGATCTTCCACTCGGCGGTTGATATACTTATTTATAAGTACCATTATATTTCATTATCATTATCGTACCTCCAAAAAGAGGCTCACAAATGAGTTGAAACTGAATACCCATGAGCCCTCTGTGCTTTAAAAATTGCCATAAGCATAGCTTTTCTTTTTTACCGCGAGCCCATACCGTAATCTTAACAATACAATCGCAGGCTACATTAACACCAAAGCACAGCTTATGTTGCCCATAATAATAACATTAATATGAGCTTAAGAAATTAATATATGCACATGCCATTTGAGAAGTGTACATATGCCTTTAAGTGTTAAATAGACCAATGAAGTAAAGTACAAATTGTTCAAGCTTTTGATGGATACTTCTGTGTTCAAGATATATTCGTCTGCCAAATATAGAATACATGAACAAATCGTATTAAACAAAAACTATTACTTGGGCTCAATTGGTCATTTTCTTGATACTTGACTTGACTGGATAAACTCAGACCGCATGAGGTATTAGTGCCGAGGTTGCCAAATTTTTTTTTTTATCGTAGACCACTTTTTAAATTTTACTGGTTTCGGTGGACCCCCTGCTGCTACATTTCTACCATACTCCCAAAACTGGTAAAAAAAATTTTAGTTTAGATTTAACGATGGAAATTTGAGTCGCGGACGAGTTCCAACCCTCAATTCGGAGTGGTTAAAATACAAAGAAAAATAGTATATGTTTTTGTGTTATCTTTAATAAAATAATATGATTACAGACTTAATAGAATTAAAGAGGTGAAATGGGGTGTTATCAAAGAGAGATACCACTATCATTAGTCTGTTCTAGTCAGGGTGTCCAGATTGTTTAAAAAAAGCGCAATTTCTGAAAAAAATCGCCTTTTTTTTAATAAATACATATATTTTTTTTTTTTTGTATTTCAAAAATGACATCTTGTTATAATGTAGTTTTTAAAACCAAAAAAGATTATAATACCTTCAGAGGGTAGAAACAAATAATACAAATCACTTATATAATAGTGATGTAGAAACGCTTTTCTTTAAAAATACTCATACTTTTTAAAAATATTTGTTTCGACACATTTTGCAATAGGACTGCGCAATTATTAAATTTATTATAAGTCATATTAATTGATTAATCGCACAATCCGCTTTTAAGAGCTCGGCTATTTCCACAATTTCTTCAAAATCACCTATAGTGTCTGAATGATTTACATTTACATTTTCATCCTATTTCGGATCTTAGTTTTTGTTGAATTCATTACGGAAAAAACGCGCTCAACAAATCATGTGAGTGCGGCAAGGGTAATAATATGAATTTACTTATATTTCCAAACATTTTATTGCCTGTTGCGGTTTTCACTCCGTAAGCAATTGTCCAAAATTCTTCAGAGTCGCATGTAATGGTTCTGAGAAAATTTATTCCATGGGAAAGTTAAAAGATTTAAATATTCAGTTTCCGCTGCTTTTCTTTCCTTCAAAGTCAAATGGTGAATTGGCAGGTCCCTGAAACTCGCCCTCTTGTGATTCACACACTTTTCTGGCGACAAAATCAAAACTTTTTTAACTGGACTAGGAAATCGTTTCAAAAGTTCTGCGATGATTAAACATTTTTGACAGTCATTTAATATGCTTCATAAGTCAAGTTTATCACGCAGTTCATTAGGCTCTTCTGTAAATTATCGTAGAAAACTAAGTTTTGTATATTTTTATATTTGGAAAAAATTTATTTGAAGGGAAAAAATCCAAAAAAAAATCGCCAAAATGGCGCGAAATCGCCAAATCTGGACACTCTGGTTCTAGTATCCATCGGAGTTACAGGAATTGCTGAGAAGTCGTTCTTGTGCATACATTGGGGCATATTTATAATCGAAACAAAGTTGATTATAAAGTTGGTTGCAGCCATTCCATTGAAAACTATGACATAAAGCAGCAACTAACTTTAGTGTCGACTTCATTTAGGCTATGAACATGCGTTCTTCAATTGTGTCTACCTAACTATATCCTGGAGTACTGGAACAGAGTAACCGATTGCACTGAACAGCTGATTCTGGCAGATTATGCGCTCGAGTATAATTAAACCTCTGTTTCACATGCACTGCTTGTCTATGCCCTGCACTTGCAATGTAAGTATAACCAGCGCTTAAGACTTGACATGACTTGAAAATTTTATAACTGGCAAATGATAAAAAACAACTTCACTGAGAAACTTGGAGAACTATAGATTTTCGATTTCTAAGTTATGTTACAAAGTGCCATATCATTTTTTTGTCACCTTTTTATAAAAAAAAGTCTTCTAAATTTGCCATACAAAATGATTTTTTGTATAAATGCAATTCATAGGGCAATAGCAAAACAAACTTTCAAACAAAGACAGAAAATAAAAGAAATAATTTTAAAGCAAAAAACACAACCGACTTCAATTCTCATATAAAAATTTAGGAGTACCGTTAATTTCTTCATAATGCAATGATCGGATCTAAACCAAATTAGTATGGGATCACCTCAAAGAAACTACCATTCCGATAGAAAAATTCCGATAAAAAATTATCGAAATCGGTTGACGTGGTTCAAAAGTATGCGCTAACATACATAAAAAAAAATTTTGCGACGAATTGATAACCATCTCTTTTTTTAAGTCGGTTAATAACAAGTTATTTTTAAGCAACTGTATCAAAAGAAAATACCTTTTTTATTTGAAGGGGACATTTCCCCTTTTAATAATTTGTGTTGCAAAATATCCCTCAAATAGGGAAATTACCCACAATCTGGCATCACTGGATGAGCAAAAGCGACAAAACGCTCTTTTGTGAATAGTAATATATTGAGTGGCATAGAAGCGTGAGGCTTAAAAACTGAGTTATATTAAAGATAAATGTAGTTGAAGAGCGCTCTTTTATTTTTAGCTCGCAAAAGTCGGAAATCATAATTGATTACCCTTGAACTGAGTTGAGTGAGGAGGAGGTTGAAGTTGTGTTCCTCAGCGAGGATTTTTCGCGAACTCGTGTCTTAAAATACACTACTCAAAGGGATGTTAAGGGAAGTTTTAGAAAAATTAAATTAAAGCTAAATAAACAGGCTATCTGATCTTTGGGCCGGCCTAACTGAAAAAAAAAATTTTCAAACCCGTCGACCAAAAAAAAAAAACAAAAAAATTGCCAAAATTTTATTTGGCGCTATCCGTTGGGATATTCGCTTGAGAACCGTAGCAGAGAAATCTCAATATTTGAGTCTTAAAGCATCAAAATGCTTGTTTCAATGTCCCAATACTACCATTTTTCATCGGAATACAGCCTATCAAAAATCACCGCCGGCTGCTGACTACATTGACAGGAAAGCTAAGCCAACATTTTTCTTGTTTACTATCGAAACCAGATAAATTTTCATGGACCTCCACTTAAAACATGTGAACCCCCATTTCTTTTGACGCCAACGTAGAACCCCATCGAGTCTCCCGTGGACCCCTGGGTGTCCACCTGGATCACTTTGGGAATCACTGTACTAATGCAATGAAATCAGCTGAATTGACAGCGGCTCTAACTCATCAAAACCCACATGTATGTATGTAAACACAAATTTTCATCGATTGCGAGGCATCTATTATATCAGTAACGGCTAAGTATAATGGCAAACTCGCTTTGTTTTCAACAAAACAGGAAAAGATAGACGATACATCTCCCAAAATTACAGAAGGACATTGCAAAAACTACCTGCTATATTCAGGACATGAGTTTAATAATTTTTGAGCTATTTCCACGGGCGACTAGTAACACATAGCACTTAAATGCATACTACGTCTGCGATAATTCGGAATAAAAAGCGAGCACAAAATGTGCACAGCAAAAAATTCCTTTATGAAATTCTTGCATATACACTTCTCAATTGTCATATACATAGCTGGACTTATTATCTAAGGTAATAAGCTGATGGCACTTCAAATCATGCTCAGCCTAGCTTCACTCATCATCCGGACAACTCATCCGGAATAAATCAAGGATGCATTTTAACGTAAATTTTAGCGTTTACCAAAAAAAGCAATCGTTTCAAAATAATTCTATTTTGGTTTTTAACGAAAAGAAATTCAATCGTTAATGCTAGAGCTGTAGCATGCATTTAGGTGCTAGGTGTTAATAGTGAGCTGGCAATGGCATGCAACATCAACTTTTCGTTGATTTATTTCGTTTCAACGCTTACGATTGAGTTTCGTTTCAATAATTCAGCTCTGAAACGAAACGAAATTATTTTGATAAGTTATTTTTGCGCATCAACAAAACGAAATTGATTCAAATAGTTTGTTGAGCATCTCTGCTTTAAATTATTAACTTTTTACCCTATTGATACTTGTAAATAAATGTGTATGTTTTAAAAATAGGAATAAAATCCCACCGTCTTGATCGATGTGTAGCACAAAATATGTCAGTAGCTCTTATCGAAAAACGCCTGATTGGATGGAATCCAATCCTTATTTTTAGAGAGCCCACTTTGCATCGCCTCTCGCTTAAGCCAGAGAAAAATCATCCTAAATATATTCACGCAGAAATACACAAGCCCACCACTAACCCATATTTTTTGTTGTTTTTCTTGCGACATTCCAGTCCATGCAACGCCTTTCCGCCGAGCAAAATGGTTCAACGACTGAACAAACACATGAACACAATCCAAACGTCGTACCTGATCATAGAGGCAACTTACACGTTACTGTTAAGAAAACTAAACCAATTTTAGGTATTGCTATCGAAGGTGGTGCTAACACAAAACACCCGCTTCCTAGGATAATCAATATCCATGTGAGTACCACATAAATGCACCTTAAATACATATATTTGTGCTCAAGTGTAGCTACATAACTTTGGCCCCACATCTCCTTTCCGCAGGAAAATGGTGCCGCTTATGAAGCGGGCGGACTAGAAGTCGGGCAACTGATACTGGAAGTGGACGGCAATAAGGTTGAAGGTCTACAACATCAGGTATGTTTAGCCATTTTTAGATGCATTTTCAATATTTATGTAATGCGCTTTTTTTCTCTTGTTTCACAGGAGGTTGCCCGCCTGATAGCCGAATGCTTTTCGAATCGTGAAAAGGCAGACATAACCTTCTTAGTTGTCGAAGCGAAGAAGTCAAATCTTGAACCAAAACCAACAGCGCTTATCTTTTTAGAAGCCTAACATTTGCTTGCCCTGCCGGCTAATGAGGATCCCTTGGAACGACAAAAGATCGAGTTCCTCTACGAATGGGGGATCGATTTAACGACAACGCCAAAACCAATGCCAACACCAATACCATTAACAAAAGCTAAAAATCCACCGCCACTGCCACTCAACATTAAATCCATCAACCATCCATCGCAACACCATCAACATCAGCATCATCAGCAGCATCAGCCACCAGCGTCGGCGATGACGGCGCCGACACAACGCACATCGGCGACGGCCCATCAGCAACACGTTGACGCGACAACAACACCAACAGCAACAAGAACACACACACATGTGCCACAAATCACACAACAAGCGTCAATGGGAGCGACGACACAGGCGACGAGCGCCAAGCACACAAGGAGCCCAACGCAACAACAACAACAACAACAACACCAACCGCACCAATTACACCACCAACGTACAACGCCAACATCAGCCACAACAACACCAACCAAAAGCAGCACACAACACCAGCAACCGCAACCACAACATAAAAGACTGACACCAGCTGAATATGCGCGAGCGGGCGGCGCCATAACAACAACAACAACAACGCCAACAACATCAGCGCCGACGTCGCGGGAACACACACCAACACGCAGCTCACAATCGCAGTCGCAATCGCAACACCATCATCAACTACAGCGACAAGCATCAACCACACAACGCCATCAGCAACAGCAACAACAACAACAACAACAACAAAAATCACAACATTCACAACACGAACAGAGGCGCGAACTCGATCGCAAGGGCTCGCAACGTGAACGTGATCGCACGAAAGAGCGCGAACACGAACGTCAGCGGGGCTCTGTGCGCGAAGATGAACGCGAGCGTGAACGTGAGCGAGCACGCGCATTGGAACATGAGCGCGAGCGTGACTATGCTTATGAGCGTTCGCGTGATTATCAGCGCGAGCGCGAGCTAGAGTATGCACGTGAGCGAGAGTATGCAGCACGCGAACGCGAATATGAGCGTGAGCACTCACATGGCGCACGCCACAGCGATTATGCACGCGAGCGAGAGCGCGACTCCGAACTTCGTGAACACCCACCGCCGCCGCTACCATCAGCATCCGCATCATCAGCGCACTCACATCTACTACAACACCAACACCACCGCCAACAACACGAACACCACGAACAACCACATTACAATAAAACAAATTATAATTCCGTTTACCAGTAAAAAAATTTTACGAAATACGAATTTGAGAAATTTTTGCTAACGAAATTTACCACCAACTACAATGAAAACAACAACAATTGCTTGAAATATTAAATATCTGACGCTCAATAGCAACAACAACAATAGCAACATGGTACAAAACACACTCAGCATGAATAGAATTTTGCTGAAATTTTGATAACGTGAAAAAGTTAGCAAAACAGATGGATATAGAAAATGCATGAAATTCGAAGAAAAGAGCAAATTATATTTGAATTGTGCAATTGTGTAACTATCCCGCGTAAATAATAGAAAACACTTAGCAAATGCCCGACAGCAATAGCCCAAATAAGTACGCCCACTCTAGCAAGAACTCCTATAGATTCCCACCAACAACAAGAACCATAACTAAAACAACAATTATCTGCATAGCGCCGCCGTTCGTTTCACTTCAATGCTCCTCACATTCTATTGCCACCGCTTTAAAGTTTTATGCCTTACGCTCTCATAGAATCGCTTAAAATTTCAATTCCTCATAGAAGAAAAAAGAATAAAAAGCTAAAAAAAAATATGTTTTGTGTGCTAAAACGGTTATAATTTTTAGCTTTTGTACACTGACACGCAAAATTGTATTGTTTTGCAATTTTCAACTCACTCACTCATACAAGCCACACACACACACAGAGGTACTCAAAATACTTTAATATATATACATTGTAAGGCTCTTTCTGCTTCAGACCTTGAGCTACATACATAGATGTTTGTTGTAGTGTTTTATTTCGTACTTTTGCTAAAACTGCTTCAAATGTTTCATACATGCACACAGTCGCTGGGTATATTTAAAATATATATACATATATATTTATATATTTTAGTTTTTCCCCTTTTTAACCTCAAAGTATATTAAATATCCCAATTGAATTGTAAACTCCAAAAAACTAAGGTTTGTATTCTAGTTTATCGCAATTTGGGATTTTTAGTCAAATTATTATTTTTTCTATCCTTTTTTATATTTTTACGAATAAAACCTGCAAGTGAAGAAGAACAGGCAAGCGAAAACGAGGAGGATTTGAAAAATATATGAAGGACAATTCAAAACTTCTTCCGATTCCCTGGCTTGCAATTGCCACTGGTTCGCAAAAGATTTAAATAGTGAATTGTTTATGGTGATTAATATATGTAATTTGCTAGAAAAATAAGGATTTTATTATCATTTAGCGGAATTGTCGATGCTTAGTCAACCAAGGGATAATCCTCTTTTAATTTGTTCTTATTTTTTCTCTCGAGTGGGAAAATGTTTAAAAGTTTTTCTTGCTCGATATTTTCTGATGTATCATTAGGACCTCCAGTGTTCTTTGGTCGTAAAGGGTTAATGCATTTTTAGTTTTCCTGTCGTGTAAGCAAATATATAAAAAATGTTGTTTGCTGTTTGAAGGCGAAAAGATAAATTTTGCTTTTGGAGTGTCAGTGGGCATTGGTCGTCGAAGTGTTAAATATTTTGTTACTTTTCTCTACATTTTTCTTTCGGCTATAAAATTCGAAAGGAATTGCTTTTAGCTGCTTGATATTTACTGATAATAAAAAAGTAGTTTAACCCTTTCGAAAATCCCTGGTCATTTGTCAATTATACATATATTTAGAAAAATTTTCAAAATTTTTTTTAGAACATTTCCAGTCGTTGGTTGTTAGGGGGTTCGAGAATTTTTAAATTTTTCTGGATTTTTATTTTTTATGAATTTATTTTTCCTAATTCATTAAGAGAAAAGGATCAACCCTTTGAGGCATCGCCATAAAGCCAAGTCGTTGTTTTACTTTTCTGTGAAATTTGAGAAAACTTGCAAGAAAAACAGGTAAACTAACCCTTTAACCCACTTGTTAATTTCGGTCATCAAATGGTTAACTATTTTTAAGCGCTTTCTTAATTTTTTACCGATTGAGAAAATATAAGAAATAGAAATTTAAAAAAATATTTAATTAGTTTCTATAGAATCTTGAAATGGCACTTGGTCATTAAAGTGTTAATTTGTTTTAACTTTTTTATTGTTGTTTTTATTGTTACATATTATATTTTTAGTTTTTACTTCTTTCCTTAATTTGTTTGTCTAGAACGAAAGAAACCTAAATATACAAACTTTTGAATCAATAGTTTAGTTTGGCTTACCCCTGCACTGTGTACCGCTTTGCTTTATTAAATGCAAACATTTTCGGAAAGTATTCGTATCAATAAAACACTGCCACAAAATAAACAAGAAGCAAACAATTTACACTTTTGCACGTATGAGTATCTCAAATATACCAAAAACTGATAAAAACCAAACCAAACAAGACACAGAAGCAAGAAATAAAAAAAAAAAACAATAAAAAAAATATTAAAAAAATAAATAAATAAATAAAATAAATAAAATATTAAAAATGTAAAAAAAACTCTCTCCCCAAAGCAACAACACAGATGGAGCCGCGCAACCCCACAAAACTTCTATACTTAGCCCCTATCCAAATCCACACGCTCTTCTATTTAGCTACCCAAAATCTTATCTCAAGCGAAAATTAAATTTATTTACGATAGCTTAGGTGCTCTTAGGTACAAATGTGTGCCCCGAGTCACACATACACACCTGTATCTTTGTATATGCTAGTCTCGACTACCTATCTAACTCTGAAGGACGTCTTAATCTTAACAACATACATATCGTCGTTTAAAGTACAAAACCGCGTTTCAACAAAGTGCAAAACCGCGTATGCGAGGTTGCATTAATTATTTTCTAGAGAGTAAAAACATTCATATTTCAAAATGGTTCTCTTTTTTATTAAGCAATCGCATTTCAGGCTAGTATATTTCTGGACGAATGTATAAGAGTTGAGCCAAGAGCTTTTGTGAGTAAATCCAATTTTTGGCAGCAAATGTCAGTTACGCGGTTTTGCAGAATGACGATACGCGGTTTTGTACTTTAAACGACGATATGTATCTATTAATTATGTACGTATGAATTCGTAATTATGTAAACTTAAGTTGTATTATTATTATTAATTATATTTGTATACATACATATGTATGTATATGATTTAACTGTAGTTTGTATTTTAAATTGTAAATTTATGTGGCATACACTGTACACCCGAAATCCGCATACACTGCGCTTCGTATTCAATGTACGAGTATGTATGTATGTAGGTGTGTATATAATTCTCAATGCGGAAAACAAAAGCAACAGGGTTGCTGCATAGTGATTGCCTTGCGCTAGCGTTGAAAGAGATTTTCCAGCGGACGTGAAATTCGTATTAGCCCATAAACGGCTGAGCGCTAAACATTTTTTGTTTTCTGTACTTAGCTTGCAATATTGGAATTATTTTCCCATAAGTAAAAAACTTATCTTGACGTATGTAGAATACGTACATAATTGAAATGTTAATGAATGTTCTATACCAGTGGTTCCCAACCTATCCCAGCATCTTTACTTATCGCAATACCTCCACGATCCATCGGTTCATGGTGGAGTAAAAAACCAAAATTTGTATCGCATCAGAGGGAAAAACTAAAAACGCAGTTTTACTATATTTGGCCTCCAGTTTTGTAAATATATTGATTTTTTCGTGTGTAAAAATTACTGTCGCACGGTGTTATCATAGAACTTTTTCATTTTTTTGGCTCATTAATAGTTTGCTAAATGTTTTAGTAAGCGCTTTACTTATGTACAGATGTGATTTTTTTTAATGCTTCTACAATTTAAAAGATCATCAACGAACGGCACTACCACTCGGTAGGTCCAGGGTTCGATCCCTGTTTCGAAAAACATCAATCAAGAAAAAGTTTCTCTATTAGCGGTAACCCCTCGGCAGCTAATGGCAAGCTTCTGATAATATTTCAACCGTGATAATAGCTATTTTATGAACCTTCCTACTATGCGGAACAGAGCAAAAATATGCGGGACTTTAAGGGAAGGAATCCAGTCATAGCCAAAGGGTTCTCCAAAGGAGATGAAGTGGGTCTTGAGGAAAAGTGACTTCATTTTCCACACTTCAATTATAGTAAATAATATAATAAAATAAGATACAGTTGTAACAGCCCCAAAAACCTTTTACTGGATACGAGCCTGAACTATACAAATCAGTCTGATTGAAATTATATAATATATACTTTACTAGTGGGTCGCGACCCACCGGTTGGGAACCACTGTTCTATACGATCACGGATCACACTCTTACTAAACATAATATACCTTTAGGCGCAAAGCAGCTGCTGTGCAGTAATCACCTGTACAGTAATGCCTTGGCAGCAAAGTTAATGCAAGGCAAGCGCCAAATGTAAAGGAAATGTGTGCACACTTTTGATAGATTACATTTACTTACAACACACACACCGCCACAAAAGCACTACCCATTTTAAAAATGCTGCTTAGATACACACGCAGCTTTACAAACTGCCATGTGACCCGCGAAGACGAAAAAAAAAATATTTTACACTTTATGTCTCTGTGTATATAGATAATGCAATGTTAACACAAGCAACTTATTACATATAAACGTTGATTTTTATCTTTTTTTATTGTAAAATGTTTTATGCGATTTTATGTAGTAGAAAATATTGAAGAGTTGAAATGCAAATAGTACGGAAGAGATTGAGAAGACAAGCAAACGCAAAACAGGTATAGTGCTAAAACGAATAAAAAATAAATTAAAATAAAATGTAAAAAATGCAAAACCAACAAATATGTATAACAAAAACCCACCTAAAGCCAATAATTAAGTGAAATTCATAGATCGATGAAGAAGCGGATGAAGAAGAAGTAGCAGCGGAGGCAGTAGACAATGTCGATAATATGTATGTATGTGTAGTCTATATATAAAAAGCACACGCAACCAAAAACCCACAAAAACAACAACAACAAATTAATTAAGTCAACTACACACTCACAACCACACTCACAAAACCAAATGAAATTGAATATTGACAACTACCAAAAAAAATCAATATCCTTAGTAAGCACCACCTTAAAACCCCAATTAGTATGTGAAGCAAAAGTAATAGGACAAATAGTTTAAAAAAATAGTTAATTGTAAACAAAAACAATTAGAAGAAACGAACGCACGTAGCAAAAGCAAAACAAAACGAATGATAGACAAGTAGGCAAAATATTTGAAGCAACGCAGGAAATGCGAAATTTCTTCGAAATATCCAACCAAAAAAAAAAACACAATCGGCGCGTTGTAGCACAAGAAAAACGAAGCTACAATTAGAAACCTCTATTTAAACAAATAGCGTAAATACCTTAAAAAAAAAATCACACGCACACAAATTTTAGTACGCACTGCACTTTCAAGAATATCGAAAAAATCAAGCAAATTTCGCTAAAACGCAAACATTCGCTAAAACAGCAATTTAGCAAGCAAAAAAGCTATAAGCAAGTATTAACTAAAATGTATTTGCAAATATCTCTCACTTGGTAAACGAGTTATAAACATTAATTGAAAAAAAACTAAACTTAAAACTCTAAATACATTAATCAGCAGCAAAA